ACTGCAGAGTGATACTAACAATGCTAATAAGTTATAATGGTTATTTTTTATTACTGCAATTGATACAGTTCATGACCATTTCTAATGAATTAAGTCCATAGGAACTCCATTGCTTATTTTTTGGTTTGGATAATCCGTAGGTGTTTAACAAAGCAATTCATCTTATGACTTGCCTCTAGCCACCTCATTGGACGGACTGCTTCGAAACTTCAACCAATCAGCTGCGGAGCACCGACCAGCCGCAGCCTGCAGCACCCAGGTTTCATAAAGTGGCAAGAGTCGTCGGAATTTCAATGACTTTTTGAAAAGTTAACGACCATTTTTTTGGTCATTACAACAACTCCAAACCTGGATTAATAGTTAATTTATATATTTCAACAAGCATGAATAATTTAATACGTACACAATATTTTTAAAAAATAATACACTGACTGCTATCACTCCTCATTTTTTTTGGTTTCAGATTCCAGTCACGCCACCGCTGGAAACAGAAGTGTACAAGGCAGCATTCGCCGATTATCAGTCACAAGTTTACAAAATTCTGGTTCTGTTGTACGTGTTCAAGCTTGGAAGAAAAATCCAAGAGATGGTGCTGGTTGTTGACTTCTTTTCAAGTTGAAACTTGACTACAATGAAATTTTTTGTGTGCCTCTTCTGTAACCTTCATACCATTTGTACAAATGGAGGTAGTTTTTGCACAAAGGGCAAAATTAATCGCATAATTATAACCAATATCAACCAATCACAACAATATTTAAAGAAAAATTTAAACTATTACATTCATAACATGCTGACTGTATATAGCAAGTAATAAATTTCTAGACCTCAAACTTGAAGGCTTTAAGTCGATGTTCTATATGAAATTTATTCCTTCCCTATAGTTTATAGCTCTTCTCATATGAATGTCTAAAGATCAGCCATATAACTTGAGAATGCAGCGGTACAGTAATTGGAAAAATATTGTGATCTTAGCACATGCAAAAAAGCTTTTGAGAGTCCATGTCCTTGAGTTTATTAAGATTTGATAAGTAATTTGGAAGAATATGTTGGCCACTGGAAATTCTTGCACGTATTGCTGTGTGACATGTGATTGGAGTTGAAATTATAAAATTTGTTACAAGCTAAACATACCAGAATAATTATTTCATTTCATGCACAAAGTTTCATTGAAATATGATCAGTAGATGGGGATAAAATAGATCTGGTCACTACAACCATGCCACGTTACCTGCTGCAAAAATGTTCAAAGTGTCATTTTGCTAGAAGGAAAGCACTAGCAAATGCTTTTAAATGATCAGTAAAAAGCTACGAAGTGCAATTTTTTTCAACCAGATAGGTATTGAGATCACAAAACCATGTTGACCAAACCAAATAAAGCAGCACCAGCATTAGAAAGAAATGTATTGTTTTGATACACGATTGAATAGGGAAGTCATAAATGAAGTCGTTCATTCATTATTAAAAATAAAGATTTAATTTTACTGTTATATATCAAGTTCTAGTTACATATACAAATGACAAATTTTAGGAAAGTGTCATAGTTTGCAAATTAGGGGCACCACCTCCCAATGGGCGAAATGTGACCACCTAATGGCAGCTGTGACAGGGTAACATTGACCAGCTTGGAAACTAAGTTAAAATTACCATATATAAGACTAGAGTCTGAAACATAAAGAAAAAACATTAATAGGTGTATCAAACGCAAAATATGTTATATAGGTACCTATGGTAATTTTAACTTAATTTCCAAGCCGGTCAATGTTACCCCGTCATGGCTGCCATTAGGTGGTCAAAGTTCCCCCATTGGGGGGGCAGCACCCCCATTTGCAAACTATGACACTTTCCTAAAATTTGTCATTTGCATATGTAACTAGAAGAGTTCTACTACAATGCATCAAAACCTTGAGTTATTTTACCAAAAAATAAAAAAATTTGAGGGGGTACTTTGACAGGCTTTAAGGGGAGCATCTGGGCAAAATTTTATCTCGGCTGTTTACAGACGGATCATTCTGAAACTTGGTACACATATGTAACACAGAGAAATAGACAGCTTTTATTCATGTACATTTTTTGAAAAAAATGAAAGAAAACATGAAATTCTTAGAAAACGGCCATATAAGGGGGTACTGTAGAAATCTATCTCCTTCTAGATTTTTGAAGTTACAGCAACGAGACACATACCATTCGATTCGCAATCAAAATATCTATCGATTCGTTGTAGCTTTTTTTTTAATTTCAAATTTTTGTGGATGTGGGAGCATTTTTCCCAAAATTTTTGAAAATTTTTAGATTTTCCCCAATTTCCCTTTCCTTTTTTCAAAATATTTTCAAAACTATAACGAAATTGAAAAAAAACTACAACGAATCTCTAGATATTTTAATTGCAAATCGAATGGTATATGTCTCATCGCTGTTGCTTCAAAACTGTAGGAGGAGATAGGTTTGCAGTGACAATAAGTTAATTGTTCAGTAGAGCCTGACAAAGTCCCGGGCGCCTCAAAATAAGCGTTCAAGGTGGCAAGAATGCAAGACTAGGCAATACTGGAGCTCAATTCCTGTAAAGGATGGTGTGAACGACGACACATAAACCCTACTGTACAACTGCAAGCGGGTAACTGAAGCACATCTTATGTGGACTAGCTATTTAAGTATGCCACCGGGAATTTTCGCCTATCCTAAATGTGAAAGAACTCCACCACCCCCCACCCTTTTGCGATCTGTCGTGAACGCATAAATCAACTTAGAGATGATTTTGGTACCATTGAATAGAGCAGAATGTCAGCTTTATGACGAGACTAAAAACCGGAAAAGCCAAAATTAAAAAATTTTGGCCAGACGCTCCCCTTAAATAATAGCTCTTTTTTTATGGGTCACATTTTTAATTTTTTAACCTATTAGGTATGCAAACTTTTGAAATCTTTCTATTGTGTTATGTAGCCTCAATATTAGGCGTTTAATGGCCTTTGACAAAATTTTTCAATGTCAAATAGTTTTTGAGTTTTGGGGGTTTTTGTTAAAAAAATGAAAAGTGGTCAAAGTTACCCCGGAAGTTGAAGTAACCCCATTTTACGGTATTTTAATTAACATGTTTTTCTTAACTTAGCTTTGCGTTTGTTTGTTGTTAACATTGACTACGAAAATTAGCCCACTTCTGATTGCTCTAGAGATGTGAAATTTGGCATGCAGGCTATTTTCACCTAACAATTTCAGATACAATCATAAAAACTAGCAATTAGAGACCTAAATTAGCTTAATTGAGTAAAGTATATATGTATATATAGTATATATATAGTATGATGTGCGGGCACTCCAGTTATAGCTGCGTATCATCAATACGTACGTCAAGTCAAGTAAATTGGCTTGCAACAACGTTTTTCATGTGTAGCAACGGACTAAAAAGGAGAAAATAAAATACTTGACACGTTAACTGCCAGCATGCAATATTGGAACTTCCCCCTAGCGCCAAGACTTCTAGGCACTAAAATGTCTCAGTTGGTCAGGAACAGCTGCAAGGGAAGGTGTGTATGTGTTATACTCTCTGTCTAGTTTCTTCTAGAACAGAGTAAACCATGAGACACATGTGGTACATAAAGATGTTCACTAAATCTTCATTTTTCTCCAGCGCCATGTGCGCCACCGGTGGTACAAGAGATTATGGTACACCGGTGGCTTATATTGCGATAATAGAAACGAAACACATTGGATATTGTATTTATTTGGCCACCGGTGGTTATGGTTTAGAGCTTTCAAAAAATATTTTTATATTGTAGTTTGTAGTTATGATATTTATTTGTTACTTTGTTATTTATAATAATACAAAGACTTATTACATATGTTTATTTCATTATTTCACTCCCTACTCCTAATTGCTCAGCATCACGATAACAAATTTCATACCAAGAAACCCTTGTCGATGAAAGAATTCTGAGAATCTATTGCTCACTCACTCATAACAGGAAACTCGAAAAAACAAATGCAGGACAAGAACCAGCTGTTATAGGTGGGAAAAGAAACTCTCATTAGTCATTACCTTGTTGAGTTAGAGGGTCAATGTTGGAATGTAAGAAAAAGATGTGGAGGGTGTTAAGAGGTGCTGTCAAAAAATAAAGGCTGCTCAGTTGCAGCTGCAAAAGCAAGAGTGAAAACAGTCTGCCTTCAATGTGAAAATAAGCCACATATATGCCCTGGTTGTTTTGAAAAAACCCACTCTCATATGTAATGTCTGATGTCTTATGCTATTATTGGTTCATGGATAATTTTCCAAAAGGTAATTTCACTAATTATGATCACCAATTTATGCAGATTATTTGTTTTATTTGAGGAATTTCCTTTTTTACCATTGAATTTTAGGTTTGAGGAAGAGTCAGATTTACGGAACAAAATTTTAGTTATATTTCATTTGAACTTTGTATGAAACTATTTTTTTGAATAATTATGCTAATAAATAAATTATGACACTCGTTTTGATCATATATCCTTCTAGCCATCAAAAATGAGTGAAAAACAAATTTGAAAATAAATTTGTGAATGATCCACCGGTGGTACATATGGCGTTCATTGACAGCTTGTTTTGTGCCACCGGTGGTACATGTGGCGGTTAACGTGTTAAAAATAACTTTTTACAAAACTATGTTTTTCTTGTGGACTAAAAGTAGAAAACAAATTGTGGCTCGCCCCAAAAAACATGGGTTGGGCTGTACGTTCACCATCAAATTTACAAAATTTGTGTGTTGTGTGCTTTTCGCTTTAATCATAAATCTGCATGACACACGTTTTTTGGGGCGAGCCATAATTTATTTCTACTTTTAGTCCACAAGAAAAACATGTTTTTTTTAATTTATTTTAAAGTATTTTATTTGAACTTCCTTTATACCACATAGAAAAATGTTGACGTTTACACCACTATATTTAGTTTTGCAATATTCAAATTAGTTTTGCTACTAATTTAACAGTTTTACGCCATGTCGGAGGACTGTCCCGAGTTATCCCACCCATCCCGAGTAGCCCCGGTTGACGGTAAAAGTCATATTTCCTTTATCATTTGATGATTTGCACCAACTTCTAGACATTTTCATGTTTTTCTATTTTCTAGACTATACGTACCACAGAGCCGTGGTACAATAGTGTCCCACTTCATATGTCACAAGGGTTTTTTCGGCTGTAGTACATTGTGGTACACATATGTCCCACATGTTTTCTCTCACCAACATATCCGGTCTAATTCATACAGAGCTACGCACTTCCTTTCGCTGCAACAGCTAGCGTCAAACTAACTTGAGAAATGAAATTTGTCACTGTCTGCTCGGGAAGTTTGGCATATGAGCAATCGGAGTCAAAGTGTTAAGTGGCAGCATAGTTGTCACTCTTAACAGTGTTTAAAAACATGACATTGTTTCAAATAACCAATATCATCTGTTTATTAGGTGCATTGGAGTAACTTTATATGAGCAACTTTACAAAGAAGAGATGAAATTGTCTAGACAGCCCAAAAAAGTTGTATATTACTACTGACCTGTAATTATCATCTTCTATGATGCTATCATGAAAGAAAATTGAGTTCTGTCTATGCTAGAACTCTGTGCAAGGAATTCTTAATTAGGTGTTTTCATAGGATTTTACAGTGAAATTTTGCACTTTCTTCTACTTATATAATAATTTTAAATTATTTTCAGACTGAAAAGACACTATCACCAAAGAGAGAGTTGTTCATTTAGACCCTGCAGCATGGCAGGGAATTTTTGGCAGAGTGCCCATTAGTAAGTGGATTTTTATCAATTTCATGTGTTTGTTTTTAATTTTTTCATTAGTTCCCTATAAAGTAAGTAAAGGGAATTATTTTGTAAATTTAGTGCCTTTATTTTCATATAGCCCCAATCAAGCTAAATTTGTGCCCCCTGTCAATCACTTGTATTCAAATGCTGGAAAAAACCTGTTTGCAGCTAGTACAATAATGGATGAACATTGAATGATGAAAATCGTCTTAACTCGTTTATTAATTTTATTTCTTGTGGCAAGATCAATTTACTATCAAAATGGGTTTTTTAGACTCTTAGCATATTGAGTAAATTAATTTCTCCCCCTTTCTATAGGGTTGATTGTTAAAGGCACTAAGTTTATCCATAGGCTCAAAATAATGTTATGATATTGATGTGAATTGCTGATTTAAATATTTTATGTAGCTTGAAAGACAATTTCATTTTTGGAAGCTGTGGGTAAACTACCACCAAATGACTAGGCTTTGATTGATAATCTACTAACAAATGACTAGACTCGGGACTTCTAAACTACCAACAAATGACATGGCTATGATTGGTTACCATACCTGCTGACAAATGACTAGGCTTTTGATTGTTAAACTGACAACAAATGACTAGGTTTTGGATTGGTAAACAGCCAATAAATGACTAAGCTTTTGATTGTTAAACTGACAACAAATGACAGGGCTTTTGATTGGTAAACTGCCAACAAATGACTAGACTTGGGACTGATAAACTACCAACTATTGACATGGCTTAAGATTGGTAAACTGCTGACAAATGACTAGGTTCTTGATTGTTTAACTGACAAAAAATTACATGGCTTTGGATTTTTAAACTGACAACAAATTACTTGGCTTTGGATTTTTAAACTGACAACAAATGACAAGACTTGTTGGATCTTAGATTTAACCTCCTATGCTTCATGTGCAGCCAGCAATGGCTGCTGGATAAGCAGGACCTGATCAAGGAGCGACAGGCTGACCTGCAGGTGCTCTCCGAGGAGGAGTACCAAAAAATTATGATCTTCTTCACCAATTGTAAGTTTATTTTGATACTAGCATTAAACTCTCAATATATTTTCAGAATAAGTGGAAGTATCTTGAACTTCTCTTAGTTGAGCTTTGGGTTGTGTGGGATGGAAATTTAAGACAAGTTCTTAATTTTTTTCTCTTAACTCAGTATTTATTTCAAGGGTCAGCATTGTTTTTTTAGTAATTTTTTGTTTCAATTCTTTTATCATGTTTGTGATTTGATGCCAATAATTTAGGATGAAACAAACTTCTGATTACTTCTCTAAATAGCTGTGAGTTTTTTAAATATCTGAAAGAAAATTTTTGCCAAATTTTACTGATGCCACTGATAGTGAAGACAAGAGTTTCAGACATTATTTTTGTGATAATTTATTTCAAAATTAGGTAGAAACAAGAATATAAATTTCTAAAGCTATTCCTTCATCCCTTACTCAAGGAATTTTTTTCAGCAATATCATATTACTTGGGGTTGCATGGTAGTTTGTCACATATACATACTGTACACAAGTATGTATTTCTTTAAATGGTCACTTCATTGCGCATAGCAATGCCAATTAGAAAAAATGTATCTTATTATAAATAAGGAAACAATTTCTGAAAATGAATGGCACAGTATATTTTTTGTTTTCTCTTGTAAGAGTAAATTAATTTTCAGTCTGTATTTAAATAATATTTTTCAATATTATTGCATAGGTAGTTCTCAGATTTGAAATATCAATAATTATTATCAGCCAATTAAATAATCTAACTAATAAGTCTAAATTCATTTAGACTACCTAGTTTTTCCATATTAAATACTGGTACCTGCAAATAATGATCTTCCTTTACAATTTTCTAAGTTAAAATTTATCATTGATGTGACTGATGACTGCATCCAAAATGAAAAGATGGTACAGTGTTACATATTCTAAATGATGCACCCAATTTAATAAATTCTTATTTATTCAAGTATAAATTCAAAATGAATAATTTATATACCAATGGAAAGAGAAATTTTAAATTTTTTACATATTATATATGTTCAATATGTCCCTCTTGTGCTGCCAGGCAAATATCTAAATATGCTCAAACTCTTCCCAATAACAGCCATTTCTTTTACACACTCTTCCAGATTGTTTAAACTGCATAAAGCGACTGCTAATGCTTTCTCTTGTCGGTTTTTCAATACCAAATTTGAGATGAAATGCCTGCTGCACTGTAACTTCCAACGCACTTTTAGCAAACTCAATGTCACATAAAACTGTGTGCAACACAGTAGCCACCTCACCCACAAGTGACAGTGAAACATAAGAGCAGCTAGCAAGCGCGAGAAGTCTGGTGAACGTGTCTACAACTACTGCCGCCACCAAATTCCGTGTATAATTAATTTATACTTTTATCTTTCTCTTTCCATTGGTGTATAAATTTTTTATTTTGAATTTATAGGCACTGAAATAAGAATTTATTGAGTTAGGTCCATCATCTAGAATATGTAACCCTGTATTGAGATTACTGTGTTGAATTCCATATTTTGGAGGAGTGTTGCTACTGGTGATGGAAATCATCTTGACAATAGGGTCTTGTGAAGTTAGAATTGCAATTGCTTCACATTCACACCAGCAATTATCTATCCCCTTTATCTTCACAACTACGAATAACATAAAATTTATGAATGCAATCAATACAATTGTTGTCTTCTAATGATATTAAATAAATATTCTAGAAACTGAATGCGTTAGTCAAGAAGTAACAGTGGTTATTGTCAGAGAGAGTAAACATTACTGGCAATAATTTTTTTTTTATTTACACTCATTTTTTGGTTTGATCAATGTCATAATTGCCAACAATTCAGTCCCGTGTGCTTGTTTGGATATTTTTCTCAGTGGAATGAATGAAGATACAATTTATTTCCTGCTCAGTTCCATTTGCTATACTAACGATCTTTCTTTTTGTGCAGTCATTCAACAGCTTGGCGAAACACTGAAGTTGAGGCAGCAAGTGGTGGCAACAGCCACAGTCTTTTTGAAAAGATTTTATGCTCGCTACTCTCTTAAGTGCATCGACCCGCTGTTGCTGGCGCCCACCGCTGTCTTCCTGGCATCCAAAGTGGAGGAGTGTGGTGTTATCTCCAACAACAGGCTTATATCCACTTGCCAACAAGTAGGTTAGTGATACCATGCCGTGGTGTTATCTCCAACAACAGGCTTATATCCACTTGCCAACAAGTAGGTAAGTGATACCATGCCGTGGTGTTATCTCCAACAACAGGCTTTAACACAGGCTTAAACAACAACATTGTCTCCAAAAAGAGACCTAATCTTTTTTGCTTGGAGTTGTTATTATTTTCATGCTTTTTAAGGCCATCTTTTCCAATCATTTTTCTATTACCATTGTTAGTCTCAAACTAAAGCAATACTACAAAAATAAAGAAAGACAAGTTATTGCCTTTTTGAATATAAGCTTTATTTAAATTAGAATTAACAGCATAGAATCTGCAGAAGATTGAAATTTTTTAGTCTCTGCATTAATTTTATTTCAATGCAGTAAAAATCCAATATGAGATTAATATTTTAATTCAATAATGATTAGAGAAGCCTTCTGGTTCCACCAATAAACGTAAAATTTTATGACATTATGAAATCACAATCAAATATTGTGGACCCTGTCTAGAAATATCCAAAGATATTTGAAGTGTCTGCCTTTCAACACACACAAATAATAAATATTCTCAAATATTAAATTGAATACATGAAGTTATCACTTCAAATGCACATGTATTCAAATGACTGCTTGTGTAGGTGCAAAAATTTAATTGCAAATTCTTTCTTGATATTTTTTTATCAATTAAAGGAATTTTTAAACCATAATGGCCACGAAACATTCATGCTTTAAGCTGTCCCTAATTTTTTTTATTCAAACGTGTGAAGTTTTGTAGCAATAAAACTGTTTGTTGTGCTCTTTTTTGTGCAGTGAAGAACAAGTTTGGCTATGCCTACTCAACAGAATTTCCATATCGCATCAACCAAGTGTTGGAGTGCGAGTTCTACTTGCTCGAGAATATGGATTGTTGCCTTATTGTATTCCAGCCATACCGGTGAGTGATCGATCATCGATTCTCTAATCTCATTTTTCTCCAAGATTTTGTGTACAGATTAGACTATTCGTATTAATTATCAATTGGGGAGCTAATAATTGTGAGTCACCCATCAATTGATGAGCCAAAGATGGTGAGTCACCCATCAATTGATGAGCCAACGATGGCGAGTCACCCATAACTGACTGGCCAACGATGGTGAGTCTGCCATCAAATTTATTTCACCCTCATACGATGGCTAAGTTTATTTTAGTATAAACTTGTGTAGGGCTTTCCCCAACCTACCACTCACTATGTTTCCTCAATTCTCATGCCTAAGATAATTTTATTTCAGACCTAATATACGTAGTAAGATCACCTAACTGCTTAGATCGCAATTCACTAATAATTTAAAAGCAAAGAAAGTAGCCCGCAAATTAACCCTTTTTTATATGATAAAGCGTTTCGTTCAGAGTCCAGCCCCATCGTTAGTTCGCTGTGCGCGCCTACACCGAGCAGTTCAATGTCCCGGTGTTCGATAGTGATTTCAGAGTTCTAGCTTCCACGACCGGTGTTTCAGACCTACGAATTTTAAAATTCCGATTTATTTTTAAGCAAAATCTAGCTTAAATGTCGTCATCAGCTCCTATCCCCTAGAAAGTGTAAATAGATAGGTCTGCCACCTCAAGTTTATTTGTTTTTTCTTTTGTCAATTTTTTCTTATTGATTTTGCTTGTCTTATAGTATTTTCAACTGACGATGCAGCTGGACTCCGAAACGTTTTCTCATATAGATAACTAGTAAATTTTCTGGCTATTTTCTTTCTTAGACATAATATTTTGCAGCATTAATGAAGGATAGAAATGTAAGTATTATAGAAATGTATGTGTAATACGAATGCTTGTATGTTTTGAGGCAAGTATTTTGTGCATTTATTGACTACAATCTGCTGTACAGGCCGCTGATCCAGTACGGTCAGGACCTGAACTGCGACAGCGACACCCTGCAGCTCTCATGGACCATCGTCAACGACTCCCTCCGTACCGACGTGTGTCTCCTGTATCCCCCCTACCAGATCGCTCTAGGTACTGTGCCAAGTACTCTTGTACTATGTCAAGTACTAAGTACTGTGCTGCTCTCTTGTACTCGATGTCATGTGAAAGGTGCTATTGAATGAATCTTAATTGTTTGGCGACTGGAGACTGTTCTTAGACTGAACGTTGTGATGCTCGTGTGGGGAATGCAACTATTGCTGTAATGAATATATGTCATTTATACGTTTACTACGCATTGGTTAATACATGATGAATGCATGTATTATTAACCAATGGCATGCGCGCCATGCAATGATAATTGCATGGCGCGCATTACAAACTTAATACTTAATACAATAATTAAAATAATTTGCCCTAATTTGATAGTATTAACAATTATCTGCATGACAAAATAAAAACTGGAAGACTCTGAGTCCAAGCCTAAATTTTATTACGTTATAGTCGTGAAGCTATTGCCATAAATGTATCGTTTTTGGTACAGCTTGTCTTCAGCTGGCGTGCGTGGTACACAATAAGGACTGCAAACAATGGTTCGCTGAGCTCAACACTGACATGGACAACATCATGGGCGTCACGAGCCATCTTCTCAGCCTCTACGAGCTCTGGAAGAACTACGATGAAAAGAAAGAAATTCTCGCGCTGCTGCAGAAAATGCCCAAGCCGAATCTTCAGCCCTCCAGATAAAGCTGTCCTGTGGTAGGCTTAAAAAACTTGCTTTTTATTTTGGCTGCAGGGTGAGCCATTGCCGGTCGAAAATTTACTTGGGATTATCCTTCGTTTTCTGAATCCGATTGAACAGTTTAAAATGTTGTACACTTTATACTTGGTGTGTGAATTTTGCCTTTAAAAAATTTTTTTTGCTACTGAAATTCATATTTTAGGCAAGTACATCGCTGATGAGTGAGATATGAAATAAGTGGAACGTTCTTATAAATTTTAATCAACTTAATAGCAGGTTCTCTATGGTAGAGCACATCTTGTGGAGAGTTTTTCGCCGACTTAAAGGTGGCGTCAATAATTTGGATGTTTTTTGTATAACCAATTCATATTATCCGGCGTTCACGGTGAAGAATGAAAGTAGCAGGAGTGCATCGCATCTTAATATCGGTTTACAGGACGATGGTTTTCAAGGGTCACATGCTTAACGGTACTGGAGATGATGTTAGTTAATATTGAGCATGTTGGTGACGCAACATAATTCGTTATTGTCTACGTGGCAGCAGTTTGCTGGGGATAACTTTGAAATGAATGATTGCTGCTGCTAGTTTAGTGCTGGTTGTTCAGATATCAACTTACGGGTGAATATTAGGTTAGGTGAATATTACTCAGCTCCTCGCGTAACTAAACTACTTGCATGAACTATAATCCACCTGCCTGCATTGCCTTTACTGTCCAGCAACTCTTCGAATGTTGTATTCAGACGCGGCTTTCGTTTTCGGGCGATAATATTTATTTTCTCCTCGCTTTTGGCTACTTTTGCGCATCGAAGGTATCTTCTTGTTCGTGTAGTGGAGAAAAGTATACATGGAGGGCAGGATTGTCAATTTTTTGGAAGTAATTTTCAAGTGATATTAGTACAATACCTTAATTGCTGAACATCTACAAAATATTTCTGAACGTACGGTATACGATAGAAATGTGGCTGGCTCATCGCTCACAACTTCGTTAATTTTTCACCTTGAGAACAAATAAGTCAGTGAGGAAGTAGAGAAAAATCAATGTTTTTCTGGCAATTCTTTTATTTTTCGAAAAGGATAGTGAAATTATTATTTAATTGTACAATTTTTCAAAATTGTTATATCATTCATAGTGAGTCCATTCCGAAGTCTGTGTCGTAACTGTCATCCAATATATTAAATTTTTTTATGTGGTGCATATGCGGTATTCAGTGTAGTCGTAGCGTTCTTTTTGAAGCAAGCTTAATGCCTTGGTAAATCTTCATTAATCGCATCCTGTGTAACCAAATTTTTTACGATGTATACAGAGTGTAATGGATGACAGTCACTTTGTTTCTACAATTTTGACGAAAAGTTCTTCTGAACTATTCGTGTATTAAACAACACTTACAGTCGGTCTAAGGAAATATCTTGTTTCGGCACTTGAACCTGTTTGGGTTGATATTATATTCGTATGTGTTTTTTACAACTAATCTTACTCATTTTAATATCTTCATCGGTTCGAGAAAATCTTTGGAAACAGAACATTTTAGAAGTTGAAGAACATTTCTCCTCCGCACTCAGAAGGAGTCTTGTTCTTTGCTGCTGTGAAAAGCTTCTCTCTTCCGAGTGAATTTCCTTCGTAAAAATATTTTTCCATCAACTTGATGCTTTCCTTGTGCCTATTTTCAACGCGCTAACGATGCACAGAATTCATTTTGCCTCCTGCGAAAATGAAAAAAATTTCACCGAAGTACTCATGAGTTTCTCATTAATCTATATATAATATTGAATATTTCGCAGTCTCGTTATCATTAAATTTTTAATGTCTTCTGAATTCTTTGCTTCCACTCCAAAAACTGACAAAGCTGGCTTGCTCCTTAATTAGTTAAAGTTCATCTTTATGTGATGAAAGCTTCGTATATTCTATTTTTGTGTCCAACTTGGTGGCAATAGATGTCCAGTGCTTGAAATTGCATTGTTTCATTTATCCATTACCAACTAAATTGTTTTGCTTCAAGATACTTTTTATGTATTTATTCACTTGTATTGATCTTCTTTCTGATTTGACCAAATAAATGTTTCCAAATGTTCGTTTTTGGGCGCTGGCAGAAATGAACCAGTTTACTAGCCTTGAAATTGCTGCCTGCACACTTCTCTGCAGACATAATAAAAATAAGACAAAAATATTTATGTCATTCAATCTAAAATTTGCTCATCCATAACTATAATTGCATTTTAATGTGCCTCACGTCACTTTCTGTCAAGAATGTGCAGGCAATTTTCTGTCCGTTCACCTCACATGTTGAAAATGTTTCTGCCCATCAACATCACACAACCTCATGATTCAATCACAATTACCTGAAGAATGGGAATGCCTCAAATCGATTCACATGAGTAATCGATTTGGACCGATAGCTTTAGTTTCAGGGTCAACCCAAACCAGGTCCAGTACTATCAAAAATAGTCGAGTTTACTTTTGTCAGACAATCACCGACGGCTTTGTAACTATTCCAATTACAGAAAAGATATCGGAGGCTCCGTGTGGCGGCGTGTGCTTGAGCCAGTTTCGATAGGACGGCTCCTTGCATTACGACAATCGACAGGAACTAAAGCAAAGACGGGGGGCACGGTTGAGTCTTTATTAAAAGATAATGAGTCTGCCGCCGTACGTCCAATTGACGGCGTGTCGCTGGCCAAGCTATTCCATACAGGGGCAGGTATGCGCTACAGGAGGCTGTTCACTACTGGGATGCTGTACCTAAGCAACAAAGTCACCTAATCAGTTATTATAATTTAGGACACGATCCCTACGGTACTACTCACTGAGATTTGTTAATGGAACAAGTCAATTTAGAGAGTTATGAAATAAGGCATGATTTCTACCGTACTCCTCAATGAAATTTGTTTATGGATCATACAATTTAAAGGAGACATAGTTAATGACGAAGAGCATTTGTTGGTAATAGACATAAATTTGTCGTGGGACTACAAGAGTCCAGTTAGAATGGATGAAATAACTAAATTGTATTGAAATTAGAACAAAAATTCTTTCCGCAAAAAGCAAGCTAGTCGCACGCCCACTTCCCTACAATTGAGGTAAAAGAGCAGCATAACCTCGTAAAATTTTCCATACTTGCACGAAAAATAAAGGACGTTCAATCTTTCAGAAATGAAGTAGATGCCAAAATACAAGAGACAAGGTTCCATTTTAAGCAAGGCAAATAGACGTCAACTGTAGACGAACAAGTTCCATTTTCACTAAATCAAGATTGGAAAGAAAACGAGAGAGCCTCCTTTGCTATGATCTTTACTAAAAATATTCATCCTGCAATTTTCCTCAAAACTTTTGAGGACAAAAAGCGCGGCCATAAAACTGGCAACGACTTAGCCTAGATAGGTGGGTCAGAGGCAGTGCCGGGAGGCCATCGAAAATACAAGAACAACGTCAGTACTTAAATTCTGCAGCACGTGAACGTATCCTGCAACATACGGTAACACAATACAACAAGTAAAAAGAACGGCAACAGAGTATATGATGTGAACATGTGATGCAAGTCCGCTACTATAGAGCTTTACTTCTATTATAAGAGTTCCAATAACGTCAACAGATCGGGCAATTTAATTAAGAAAACGCCAGAAATGAAGTTCGGTGAGGGCGCATCGCAGCATTGAAGTTGAGGCCCACAAGGTCGTTATACAATCATCAGCGATTTTATAATATCCAACAACTGCTTTTCATAATTGAGAGTAAGATTTAACCTTGCTATTCGGACCAGCCCTAATAAATGTTCAGCAAAAGTGTCGAACGTGTCATGATGTTCTACGTTTTCGATGCATTTATGATAATTATATGAGCGAAATTCGGCGCAAAGAGAAAGCTTTTAATTTGTTTTTTGACTGCCCATGCCAATATTCATTGCCTCAACATGGCTCCGGAACTATTAAATTAAGTGTAGAACTAGAATTAATTTGAATTAGAGAATTTAGACTCAATGACGTTTGGCAGAGTAATTCCACCATCTGTACTCGTGAGTGGCGAACTGTACGCTTGAACCTGCGCGTGACTGCCGTCCTCTACATATTGCTGGCCAGAATCATTACAATATTGAATACAAGTCACAACAGGTTAATAGAATATACATCTGGGCAATGGTCAATACATTATCATATTTCAAATACCAAATGATGAACTGAAGATGTTTCCCGATGAAAAAATAATACTCAAAAGTAATTTAATTCCTGTCTTCTATATACAGAACTTGGGGAAGATCTAGCCTAATTCCCTCAAAAAAAAAAAAATCTGCAGCAAGTGAAAGTTTATATAAAGATCTCGATTTTAATCAGGGATAAGCTAGGATACAAAGTTGGAAATCACAGGCTCCTCCGTTAACAATATAACATTTATTATTCCTGGTCACACCTCAATACTAATTCATTTTACAAATCTGCAAGTGAATAACAAAAATGTCTTTCAAAAGTGGCGATAATTGAAATTGAGTTAATCATCAACAAGGTTGGCAAAATTACCTTTTCTTTAATCGACATCACACGCACGCATCACGACAGTAACAGAAATGGCTTGAAAAATAAACCAAATATAGAAGCAATTTAAAATCTTACAAATTTCGGTTAATAATCAAAAGGGAAATCATATCTATACCACATAGATATCTGTAACACGTATAACTTCATTTCAATCTCAAACTGACCTAAAATTTTGGACGAGAAAATTTGATACCACCTTTTGATGCAAATTAACACTGAAAAAGATACCGGATATTGAACCTCAAGAATTTCGATTGTCGGTCGGATGTTTTAAATGAATTCTAGCAAATTAATTACAGAGATCGTGATTCTAACATTTGACATCCGTATTGGTTTAGAACTTATATTAATGTTATGTTTGTAGAAAAACCAATGTGAGGAAAAATTACAAGAAAAGACATTAAGTTCTTACGAGAATATCTACGATGAAATGTGAGTAAGCAAGCAACAAGATAATGAATGCGACAACTGGATCAACGATGCTGTACCTGAGTTTGTAGTTAACCAACTGCTACGTTGCAGAGAGTTACCAAAATACACGCTTCACAAAAATCGTATCTTAATATATAAAACAACTGACGATGAACTGAAACGCTCACAAGTTTACAGTTAACAGGCAAAAAGAAAAGCGATCATCCATCACTTAAAGATAAGAAAGCATCACATCAATTCCTACTATGTACAGTCTTACAACAGAGAAGGGGTTGGGGGCTCTAGTATAAATCAGTACAGTTGCTACAGGAATTCTCTTGAGTACCAAAATTGATTTAATGTTCCGTTATTATATATACAATTTCCTCAGCTAGCCCACTCGACTGGTGAGAAGATACATAACTCAAAATGTGTGAAAAGCTATCACTTAGTGGCAGTTTTTTTCAATCAATCACACTTTTGAGTTCTGTTTCTTAGTAAGATCAGAAGGTGTAAAATGTAATCACGTTCCAGGAAGAGAATTTTAGTTATCGCATGGAAAATCTATCACTTGTGGCCAGTGTTGGCACTAGTCTAAGATGTCGACTAGAATCAGTTGCTGCAGAAATAACGAGGGCTGAGACAAGGAAATTTTTTATGCATAATAACGAATGCATTACTATTTCAAAAACGACCGTAACATTGTTTACTGAATACCGATATCCTTTACAATGTACGATTTTGTATCCATGAGTGAAATATTTCATCCATCACAGTATGTTGATGTGAAGAATTACGGACTAGAGCTACCAATGAAATATTGAATTCTCTGAGCTTGATTACCTAACATGTTCGGAACAAAGTTGAAATACACTTCTATATTGTTATCGATGATATGCGCACATGCGTATCATCAACTTAAATGACAGACCGAAATGACACATAAATAGGCTATGGATGGACATGGAAAGCAAGTATTATCATTAAAACTATACGATGGCGGTGAGTGCGAGCAAAACAAGAGAGCCTCGGCAGCACAAAAACATCAAAGATAATGAGTGTGACGCTCCATAAACTAGGCGTAATAGGACGTTACTTGAGATCAAAATGAAGGGGACATAACATTTAGAACGTCTTTCTCTCAGCCTCTTAGTCTGTACAAAGTGTGGGGGTCACCAAGAGAATCGCAGGCACAGTCCTATGATAGTACCAGTAAACACATCCAGCAGAACCATCAGTTGCGGGTGCAGAACATCAGGTATGAGGGGAGTGCAACAAACAGCTACAGCTGTCGTCCTAACCTCTTATCAACAACATCGCCTTAAGTTTTCACATAAAAATCTGCGACCGTTTTGTTCCTTTTTAAACTCTAGTTCTACTTACAAAATTCATTCCGGAACCATAAACAGGAAATGCTCAAAAGCTTTATTTGTAGTACGCAACTTCCAAGCAGAACTTGGAAAAAATTTTACCAGAACTAAAATTAAACACAGTAAGATTGCATTAAAATTTGTAGATAAACTGCAGCTATTGAAAACTTCATCGCAAATATCTAACAGAAAAAGAAATAAAAACGAGTGACAGACAGAAACCGATGTCTAAATTTGTTAAGAATAATGGAGTCTTAGAAATCATGGGTCAATTGAAAAACTTTACTATACTATGATCCAATTAGTTCATCACAAAAAAAAATCATTTTTACATGAAACAAAAAGTCAACCTTCAATATAGACTTCCATTGCTAACTACAACGTACCACTCAAAACCCTCTAATTCCTTGGCGTAGACTGGATACTTGCGAGACCGAGTTGAAGACATGGCCCCTCTAACGCTAACACAAAAGCTATGTACACATCTCATCACAGAAACACGGTGAAACTCTACCTTGCCTTGAAACTCTTTCGTAGTGACTGGAATATTAATAAAGAACATTTGGGAGAGCATGATTTGCACTAGCAGACCTGAATATACAGCCAATACTGTTAAACAAAGTCGGCCTGTATTTTTGCAAATAGTACCTTGCACTGACACTTCAAACAAACGAAAAAAAATTTAGAATACAAAACCAATTTATACATCCTCTGCTGGTTCAGTTATTGGTACACTTCAGCTAAAGCAGTTTCCGGAGTAAATCAGCAAAAAGAAGATTTCAAGAATGAATTAGTTCACCTGCAAACACCAAGCAAGCTGGATGAGGGCGCTGGGATGAGCTTAGATATGAGACCTAAAGGCTGGTATTTTCAGGGACTGGCCTTTATTCTCTTGCGTGCAGGCCCCATGGGAGGCGTCTGTTGTGTTGCTAGCGCCCTGAAAGCCTCGGCGATGAGGTGCGGGTGACTGCTGATCATTGCCTTCCAGCCCGTGGTCTCCATCACGTCAGTCGCGTGTCTGCAACAACTGCACAAAGTTAAACATAACCTCAACGAGGTGTGCAGAGTTCAACAACTGCACCATTATGAAGGCTCGTACTGCACTATTGTGAACACTAAAACTGTTCCATTATGAATATTCGAACTGCACCATTATGAACACTCCTATTATGGACTTCCAATTTGAATTTAAAAGAAGCGAGCAATTCTAGGCAGAAAATGCCACAATTACTTTAAAAATAATTCTCGTTTAGAAAATTTATTTTCCTATTTATCTTTTCATTAAAGAAGCAGTAACGGTATGAGTAGACAAGTAATAAGAGTGATGCTAGAGAGCTTTCAAGTTATTCTCGTTTCAAAAAGATTTTTATTTCTCTTCATCTTTTCATTAATATAAGCAGTAACAGTATGAGTAGACAAGTAATAAGAGTGATGCTAGAAAGCTTTTAATTAGTTGTTGGGTGACGCCGCTTACGTGTTAATGAAGTCGATGGCCTGCGCCTTGAGTTGGTCGGCGCTGTGAAGGTCTGCCAAGATCAGCACGTCGGCCACGTTCTCGGTGCTTAGGTTCGTGCACAGCGCCTCCTCGCACATCACCTTCAGGCGGTCCAGCGCGTACTGCACAACAGCAACACAGGTCAGACCAATCTAACTACCTCAGGGCAAAGTGCCGTGAAAAACTGTGTAAAACTGAGCCATCAGAACCCCTGCTCCCTAATTGCTATAACCAGGATGGGGAACTAAAATACCGGTAAAAGAAATAGAACAGTCAAAAACACCAAAGGCACCATATCGATCGGCGACATCACAAAATATTAGAATACAATGTTAGCTAAGGTTGCCGTACTAGATATTCTCTATGACACTCGAGAACACATTTTAGTTCAGAGCGCTAAAAACCTCAAAAAATTCAACCGTCAACTTAAAAAAAAAAATAGTTTCGAATATCGGAGAAGGAAGGTGATGTATACGTGTATAAGATAGATAAAAGATACAAGTGATTCTCGTGTAGTCAAAACTGAAACCTAAGTCTGAACTCTAGAAAATTAAATTGAAGAAGATCCAGGGCACATTCGGGCTTAAGCTCAACAATCGACTGTCGCTCTCAGTTAAGGGACGATCAAACAGAATATACGGTGGACTAGCGATCAGAGAGTACATATTAAATTATTTTTTCATGAAGGCAAGGGCACCTTATCAGCAGCAGCAAGAAGATCGTCAGCCATTCTGGTGAGGTTGTTGCTCTTGCCGGTGTAGATGAAGCGCAACATCTCGTGCAGCACCTCAGGCTCCACGTCCATGATCTCGACGCGGTTGTGCTTGCGCTCCTCCATCTCGTGTGAGAACATCGCAGCGAACACCGGAGACCGAGCTGCATCAACACGGTCATGCTTAATAATTGTGCATGTGGTATGATCTTGTTGTAATGTTAAACGACTTTTGATAGCGTTTTTTGACTTTTGATTCCTTTTTTAACGTTCAATGACTTTTGATAACGGTTTTTGAGACGTTCAATGACTTTTGATAACGGTTTTTGAGACGTTCAATGACTTTTGATAATAATTTTCAACGTTCAATGACTTTTGATAACTTTTTTTAACATTCAATGACTTTTCATAAAATTTTTCAACGTCCAGTGACTACTGCGACGGTTCCAAGTGCAAAAATGGTCTTTTGTCTTATAGAACATTCATTCATTATAAAGCAAGTACCGGTAACCTAAAAATGGTTGAGGTTATAACATAATAGATTGCTGAAAAAATAGAAGGGCTACTAACCAGCTAGGAGAGCTTTGTGTGCTTGGAACTCCCTGGCGCCGACAGCGAGCGTGACGTCGCAGTAGCGCTGAGAATCAAACAGCATCCCCAGGTCCTCAGAGAGGCGGCACTCCGACACTTTAAACTGCACCGTGTTGCTCTGGCCGCTGATGTTAACGCTGTCCGCCACTACCGACACCTGTCAACGTGTGCACGGTCTAGAGTAGCGTTCATGGTTATGGCAGCAAATTACCATAATTATACATAATTCAAATATGCCCAAAAAACTTCACAGATACATTCATTATAACATTGCTGCATGAGCCGGACTAATGAAAATAAAGTTTATCATTTTCCGTCACACAAGTGGCATCTGGATTACATTTATGCTCTGCAGTTCAAGTCACAACACAGCCCAGACAAAACATATCCATAATAATAATATTGCTTTTCGAGAAGAAATTGTAGGAACACCCGAAGGTATGTGGCAAGAGAAACGAAGTTCGTGGTAATGAACTAAATACTGTGGTAATAATCAACTACCAACAACCATGTTTCGTGAACTTACCTCGCAGTAGAGTGTGAGTTTATCATCAGGTAGGAGACCGTTGGCTTCTTCTAACAAAAAGTCTCTTCTGATGAATTTCTTAAAACCCCAGTCTTTACCCTGGACGAATCTGTAGGCTCTCTGAGACTCTGTTGGAACACAAAAAAAAACACATTCAATTTTCTCCGATGCTCAATTAGAAGCAACTAGAATTACTTCCTAAAACTCTTGTTTTAAAGGGATGCTTGCACATTTCAAGAAAATAAACATTACATCGTACATATTCAACAACTGTGGGTTCATAACTATTCCGCAAAAAGTTCTCATTTATCGAAATAGATTACTCAACTACGAGGATATAATTTGACTCCGGAAGATTCGCGACTTCCGATGATCAATATAGATTTTTAAAATTTTAAAATACTTAATGACGGAAGGAGGGCTTTTTTATTTTATAGAGGACTTCAGTAAGTTCTAGTTCGACTTTGATAACATTCAATGCATAATATTAGTTTTATTCGCGGGGTTAAATTGGAAATGATGGAAAATTCAAATGTTCCATGTCATTAAAACGTATATTAGGCCAGCATATTTTGACTGCGTTAAAACAAGACTATCATAACTAGGATACAAAATTTGGTACAAAAACCCACGAGGTCTTGTTAAAGCCCCCTCCCCCCCCCCCCCTCAAAAAAAACAGTAGAGGCTAAGGCGCTTCTATTCCTTTCGTGCCCTAAATAGCCGCCCTAAGTCCTGAACAACAGAATCGTATTTAAAATAAGCCAACATTGTACGCAAACAATGACGCGTAAATATCATTGAAAGACTTCAAAAACGCATCCAGCTTGAGGATGATCTACGAAACTCGAAACGTTTGTTCAAAAAATATTAAATAATTATTAGTAAGCATTTTATAATTAGAATTAGAGCACACAATAGATTCGGGAATAAAGTTTAGCTAAGCAGACAATGACAGAAAAAAACTGACACGACAAACTATTGATTTTGAGCTGCATGCGTTTCATTTAATTAATTAAAATAGAGACGCTCAAACCGGAGGCAAATTCAATATATATAACATAATAAGCATTGTAATCGTATAAAATGAGCTGATACCAATTATAAAAACGTAAAAAAACACAAGTAATTGTCAGGACTATCAGGTAACAGGTCATCATTTCAGCACATAATTAAGAGCTTAGGTCTGGAATATCAAATTCACCCATTGCTTTAGTTTCTTCTCTCTTGGTATTTAGTATGGAGAATTTGAACTTGGCCCTGACTTCAGACTTATTCGACGAGACTAGCAGCAGGTACAAGGAGAGGTAGTCTTTGCTTTCCTCATCCAGACCTTTAGGATTAACACGTAAACACCTGCAAGAAAAATATGCACAATATTAAAAAAGGTTATCGGTGGGAGAGGAGTATGGTTAGAAGCTATGTAAGCATTGCTGTATCGCGGTTCTCGAGAAGCACCGTTCATTCGAGCTTCAGTTAATTTTTGCTATATTGCTTTTAGTACAACAGAAAATCATTCTTATCCCAGCTTGAACGTCAGCTGATATGCGGCAGTATACAATATTTAGAAAACTAGCCTATGCGATCGATCAAACAGAGCGTAAAAACAAACTCGCTCAAAACATGTCGCATTGATCGATATCTGTACGAAAACGAGTATGTAGCTCCAGCGTGCAGGTCATACATAATAGAAAAACGTGTCATGTATATGTAACTCCACCCGACATAGGTAACAGGGGAATGTGCAGCGAATGAATGATCGCTCAGCGGGTAAAAAGAACACGAAAATTTGGCGGTAGAAAAATAGCAAAAGTTGTTGGGAGGAGTGCTCTGTCACGAACAGAAGCGACAACGACGAAGGCACAATAAGGAACATAGCAGCGCAGCAGGTAGCGGAAAGGCAGCGGCGCAGGTACTCGGGACCTGCATTTCAATACATTCAAAATTATAAAGAAGAAAAAAGTATACAACGAAAAAGTCAATCAAAAGATACCATAAAAGGCCATCTCACTTGTACCCTGTACATTGAGGGGAAGATTTTAGTTCTCTCTTCACAATACGGACTGAAGCATGCATACATTGGCGCTCCGTATGAAAACATGCATGCTTTCGCGTATGAAAGTTTTTCATCGCGGCCGTGCATAGACATGTAAAGACTGCAGAGCTTTAATTTAGAACTATGTAACAGTACGTATAATACTTACTAAACGGCTAATGCACTCATAACAAACAAAAATAAACTTAACGAACTTTTTCACGGAAAACGTAACGAAGGCGCAAGCACTATAAATAGGTCAATGACTTCTAAAATGAGATATCACAGTCGGAACACTTCATATGAAGTCGAAGCTTTCTAAAATGATTATTAAACAGGATAAAATTTGCATGAAAGTTGTTATATGTTAATAATTCTCAAGTGAAAACAGAAGAGGCAACAATCAGAGCGAGAAGCTTCGTTGGAGTGATAAGTAAAGGTACACTAGTGATTAAAGAATGGGGTGAAAAAGGAGCATCTTCATGCATAAAAATTATCAGCAGCAACAGAATAGTATTGGCGGTGAAAAAATATACAAGTAACTTGTGGAGAAGGCAGACGAGAATCGATTTCACTGTAAAACAAGAAATAGATACAGTATCTTTGGAGCTAAGGATATAGGCACCGCTACGCGCATTTCAGAAGAGGGAAAAAGGCAGTTGCGGTGTCGGACTGAGAATATGATAATGTACAGCAGCGCCAGAGAGAACCTGCTTAAATTATGGCAGCACAACTCTGGTGGGTAAAGCTGAGATGTGACCGTCGAGGTGGACATTATCTAACACAGCAATCGGAATGCCTGCCATCTATTGCTACCTTATGTTCATAGGCATGAATGATGCAGTTTATAGTACAACACTCGTTATGCATGCTACCTATTGCCGCCATCTCATGTTTATAGACATGAATGATGAATGATGAAGTTCACGCGAGGTTACACGTGAGACATCTCCGGCACCTGGTTTTCACGCTAACAATAAGAGCGACGGATCGACGTAAATAAAACCTTCGCTCGGCATCACGACGTCATACACAGTAATCGCAGGAATCTACGTAAATGTATATATCAAGTTAAATACTTTTTTCAAGAGTTAAGACTCTTGGAAGATAATCAGCACTTAACACGTCAGCAAATTCTGTGCTTACATAACGCCTTTATTTACTTGAGGTCACAAGAAAATAACAGATATTCGCAACGTCCAGCATATTCTATTATTTTCTAGTTAGTATAAATTTTACGATTCTAGGCTTATAACACAACAAAGGAATCATAGATTAGATTCATAGGCAATTTAAGCAAAAACTTGTCAAATTGAGTATGGAAAGAAGAGAAAGGAAATAAGAGTATTCAAAAAATAAGTGCGTGAGCAAAGGAAAATACGTCTCAAAAGAAAAGGAAGGGGGATGAAATGAATGCACAGAGATGCAGAAGGAAAGCTGATTATGAGAAAGATATAAGAAATGAGGAGAGTAGGAGACAGATAGAGAAGACAGATAAAGAAGTAGAAGACAAGAGGTTGAGAGTAGTCGACAAAAAGTTGAGCAGAGGAAGACCCTCGGAAGTGAGGGACGGCCTGGAGCGACGAGGGTGAGGGTTTGGTGACGTCACGATGAGGGAGGGGAGCGACTGTCCTCACATACTCCAGAATGATTGCCAAATAGTAAAGCCATTAGCCATTAACAGTCAAAGGAAAATCTGTGACAATTTTTAGCTAAGCTAAAAATGCTCAGAACCACCGATTACTAAAACTACTGCAATTAAACATACTATTCTCCTTAAATCACGGTTCACAGTGTCAATGGCTGCAGTAATTTTAACTGTTCAACTAGTTGATTCAACAGTGACGAGTGATTTGTATTCCTCAAAACGAAATATTGCCAATATTTGGACTAGTATCGGGTTTGACTAGCAAAATAGACGAAATTGCAAACTATTGGCGATGCTCCGGATATACGGGTGGGAATGGGGCGGTTGGCTAAGTGGGTGGCAATGGGGAGGCGTAGCATGCAGTAATTAAGCGAGGGATGAATGACAGAGAGGGAGGCATGAGACAGGGAGGGAGATGACAGAGAGGGAGGCATGACAGAGAGGGAGGAGCCACCGCCAGCTGTTTCCTGTGTTTACGGGAGAAAAAGACCGGCTAAAAGAAATTGAAGAGACGGAGTAAAGGAGGAGAGTGGCGGGGGTAGGAAGAGTAAAAGAGGTGAGTGGTGGGGGTAGGAAGAGTAAAAGAGGTTGAGAGAGTAAAGAAAAGCGAGAGTCGTCGGCCGTCTGGGGATAGGGGAGGAAACTAGCCCCCAAGTGACGGGAGATGAGGAGAAGGAATGATCTGGTTACGGGTAAAGGAATGAAACCTACGACGAGAGGAGTGGATTATGTGTGTGGGTGAGAGCTAAAGAATAAATGCTGGTGAATTCAAATACTGGAAAAATATCGGAATCGTGCGAAGAGGCTACTATCATCGGAAAAAAAAGAACGTGTGAAGCAAGACTGCAACGTAGCACAACAAATTCAAAGCGTTTATTACATCTTACTTTTGCCCGTGTATTCAGGTTCGATATAATCTATCTGCTTCCTAACTGAGGTCAGCATACTTATTCGAGGCAAAATAACACTCCTAGTAAACTCGCAGGTAAACTGACTCACGCCCATAACACGTAAAGCGACGACTACATATCTTCCTATTCATCCTACAATTAATTCACTTCAAATTAATGAAAGAACATAACTTTGCAGCATTTGATACAGAACTATGCTCAAGGCAGAGCGCAGTTCAATATTCTTCCAAGGTTTAGTCCTACGCGCATGGCTGGCCTACGGGACAGCACAAAAACTCAGAGATTCCAGGACAGATCGCGCGGGTATCCACTATACACATCATCAGGCCCTGGTATGCGAGCGCGGCAGCCATCATCGCCCCAAATCGTTTGCACGGTTAGCCCGATGTGTTGAGGTATAATTATAATGTAGCAAGCTGCTGTCAGATATTATATACCAGCTTGTCGGTATAGTTGATTTAGTTGGTATACTTGCGTTATGTCATTAATAAAATTTAATTTCATGTTAGGTTAAGCTTCGTCGAAAATATCTTTCAATATAACATAGATTCGACTGCATTACTCTAATCCATTAATGTCAAATGCGTATTTCTCCGAGGAAGTTAAGGTAAACAAAGAGAAGTCAAAATGAGAGAGCAAATGAATGTTGTTAAATACACGAGCAAATATACGTCATAGTCAACATAGCACCTGCTCACCGCGCTCGATGCCCAAATAATTACACACTTATAACACTTAATAACCAAACGTTTCAAGTTGACAAATAAACCTAAATGATAACTACATAGTTATTCGGGAAGATAGCTCGAGGTCATCATAGCGTTAATTTCTATTGAGTATATCTAAGCCAGAATGTAACCTATGACACTACGGGGAAGTGTAAAAATCGACTGTAGCTAACAATAGAATTAACAACTTAGGATATCAATGGCAGTATGTGCGCGAAGTGTTAAATGAAGATCATGGTGCTAGATTTCATCTGTTAATTTGTGGGTAAGAAAATAAACGAGTTAACGAGAAGCCAAATCACATTAATTAAGAATAGAAAAATTTAAAGCGTTCTCATTATTTTAAGGAAAGGGTTACAATAACGGCGTGGCGAACGCCGCAGACGAGATATCATGTGTCGTCAAGATTAAAACACAAGCAGCACTAGCGCAACAAACGTCCCGGAGATAGTGACACACACACCACACTATAGGTAGCGTGAGTAAACTGCATAAGCGTGGCAATGGCAGTCCGGTCCTACACGCGTAAATAAAGCACAATTTTTATACGACCTTTTCCACGCTGACTTGATTTGAAGAGGGTAACTTCAGCCATAAAATACAACAATACTGAGAGATTCGACACCACTGATTCATTAATATATAAATTGAACTAAATACTGAACATGGAACTCATACTTTCAGCCCCAAAAACACAAATAAAAATATGTAATGAATTATGTTAGTAATCATGTCGAAATGTAAAATAATTCAGAAATATATACATACACTAGGGTATAATGCACATACATAACTACTATATTCTCGCATATTTTCAAGAATATCAGTTTGCACGCCAGCAGAACATATGAGCCGGCGCCACCCCTCCCTCCTCTCAGGCACATCCGGCAAGGGGAGGCCCCCCGAGCATATTAATTATCCCTGTGAAGGACCCCTCTATATATCCCCCTATCCCCCCTCGTGTCTAGGGGCTTCCTCCCCCACACCCGAATCAATACGAGAAGGGGAGTAGCTTCCCTCCTCGCGGGGAGACGACGCAAATACTGGCGTCGCCAGATAAAAGTTTAACGCATTATAGCCCAGCATCATCTTTATACGGACATAAACTCGTCTTATATACTTACCATAAGAGCTCAGCCTTCTTAATTAAGTAGGCTTAAAAATATAGCTAGCAAATATTTAAAAATTGCGTTAACTCGCTTGCAGTAGGTACGGTATTAAGAATTCGAAATAGGGCAAGCAGAACATTCATGCTGCAAGTAATTCAATCAGTTAGGTCGTTTCGTGTCATTCCGGGCCTTCAGATTTTCTTAACATTAGCAAGCTACCATATAACTACTAGATAGAAAAATATTGTGAAACGAGGAAAATTTATGTTAATGAAGAAGATGTAATTAGGCTTCAATCCAAAAACTTTTTCAAACAGTATCATTTTCCCCAAGATTTACCTCAATGGTGATTAATGTGTCAGTTTAAATACCTACAACTTTGAAACCCTCACATGCCCTTTCACTGGTTTAGTTAGAGTTGTGAACCCGCAAATGCCAGGTTATTACGTTTCGATTACCATACTTTTGCTGACAGTGTTCGATTACCGTGGGAATACCAGCGGCATTCGATTAGCTTGGTTTGCAAGCGTGCTCTGGGTATTGGTATGGCAGCAGCATTCTCAAAATTAAAAGAAAGTTAGAACTAAATAACGTCAAAAAATAACAAAATCTTCTTGGAGAAATTAAAGATCATAATACATGCAGAGCTAGTGATAATCACGTGATATTATAATAATATACTAACCATTTCAACTTGTCGTTGGCACCAGCAGAAAAGGTCGACGACTTCAAAACCTCGCCCATCTCTTCCCGACAGAAACTGAAGTTGTTGATGCTCCACATGTAACTGAACTTGATCACCTTCACCTGTATTAATACAATATTACGCCTTACTCATTTGCTACTCATTAAACGACAGTTAAATTAATTGACGTGAAGGCCCTAACAACAAGTAGTTCTAGCTAAACAACACATCGAGGACCTACGATCAGAATAATTAATGAATACAAAATGATACGAAATGCAGTCCAGCATATTTACAACAAAATACCAAATACGCATAAAGAAAGTCTAATGGAGCCTAGTGGCTCCCAGCAAAGCTAACACTACAACACTGTACACCTTAACCAACTGCATAGAATAACATGTAGATGCACCCGCGAAATGATGTAGGCACGGCAGCTTATTGCTACATGAGGATAATATAATATTATCAGCACATCATTACTCAATGATGCCTACATGAATATCATTGAAGTGACAATCCCAGTACAGATCATTGAATATGGCCGCATGTATGCGCTAGAATATGCATCATTTGCGGCCATAAAATTTATTTTGGATTAAATATCTTCTAATTGATTATGAATAAAATTTTAAAATACAAGATTTTGCCTTTCTTTACCTGGGTGTAGCACCAGTTTTCGGCGACGGGTGTGTTGGGTTCCGTCGGTGTGGGTGAAGGGACTCTGCTTGTGGCCATTGTAGCCGTGCTGGTAGTGCTGCTGCTGCAGCTAATGCCGTTGTTGTTGCTGTTGTTGGCAATGATGGCGTTGATGTTGCCGCTTGTGTTGAAACTATTGCTGCTGCTGGCTGGATGGTGCTGTATTTGATGATGCACGTGACGATGATGGTGAGGGAGGCTGGATGATGATGACGAAGATGTCGTGTTCACAAGACCACCGCCAGGAATAACGCCTGTGACACATACAAACACGCTATAAAATAATAGGACCGATAAAGCTGGTGCCGGATATCGATTAATTATAATAAAGTTCGATTTAATAAGTAGTGTAAGAGCGATGCCTACACACGTGAGATGCGCCAATAAGCGGCGACATGATTATACGTATGCATGTCTTGCTCGTGGGGAACACGAATGCCTAGACCTAGAGGAGCGTCGCACAGTACATGAGCGATGAAGGGAGTAAAGAGGAGAGCGAAGCTGTAGAGGTGAGAGCACAGGGCGATATTGAGAGAGCAGGGGAAAACTTCAAGAGAGCGAGAGAGGGGAGAACAAGAGTAGAGGGGGAAGGGGGAGAGAGAAAGAGTTTAGAGGGGGAAGAGGGAGCGAGAAAGGGACAGAAATAAGACGAGGCTAGGCAACTTTGCCAGACGCACAAGCACAATTTCAACAACGTCAATCCAACACAATATACGACCGCCATAAAACGAACGCCTCTGCTTCACTCGGGCGTGAGATCACAGTGGACCCATAAATACCACCGTATATTTTAAGACTAAAACATCGATACTTGAGAACTGAGCCGGCAATAAGTTGATGAGCAGCAGGCAAAGTTAGCGCGTGTGAGTGAATGCAGCGACCCTGAAACCAAGGGCGCTGCTTGACATGCTCACGTCATCCTCATGTACAGTAAAAAAAATCACTTTGAAGGTAAGCCTCCACTACGACATTGGCTCATAGTTTAGGCAGCGATAGCATTTCCATAGAGTTCGTGAGGCAGACAAGGAAGGGTATGACGACCTTCAGGTAGGAATAGCGTAAGGACAGGCAGGAAGTAGTTACCGGCAGGAGCAGGTGAGAGCGTTACGTCTTACGACCACCTCACCAGCTCGTGCAACACGGCCACGTATGTCGGGGACGGTCTATACATATTTCTGTTCCGCTTCAATTTTAGCAGAATATATTAACATAGAATTGGTGATGAAAATTGAACTTAAAAAGGATTAGCTATAGGAAATGCTTTCAAAATCCAAGCCTTGATAAAAATTTATGATGAAAGTAGTGGAACTTATAATTTTTCTGGTGATTTTCTGAATGACCGAGAGTGCAAGCTAGCCACGTAAACAATAAACTTTTTCTCATGCTGCAATACCGAGGACGAATACAACTCCAACAGAGCATCACGATTTAACGGGCAATTGGTATAATTCAGTCATGATATCTACCTTGTAGCTTAAAATATCTAACTCGCAACACACTCAGTGTTCCATGTCAAATTTAACTTTGACCCGACTATAAATGTGTTTTGATCAGAAATGTAAACAGGAAGGTTTAAGGAAGAGCTTCGGTCTCGCGGCCTTGGCAAGCCTCAGTTATTCGTAGTAGCAACATTCGATAATCAAGCGAGATTTCTGGTCGTGCTTACATAACCTAAACACTCAAACGCTGGCAGATTCTAGAGAGAAAATAGTTTTCCGGGTAAATGAACGAAGTTTTAGTCAAATGTTGACGAAAGAGCAATAAATGGGCGATCCTGGTGGATGTGGTGAAGATTGCAACTTTTACGATGAGATGAGAATTCTTATTTCTAATTTTAAAGGAAAGTTCAAATGATGTTGAAAGTATATATAAATGTTATGATGAAAATCTAAATTTGCATTTGGGAGAGTCAACGATAACGTTTAGGAAGTTGACGCATTCATACCGCAAGATAAATGGAATGTGAGCATCATGTGTACACGAAGCTTAGCAGGTTTAGGCGGCGCATGTTGGTTCCATCAATCAGTTTGTTGAGGATTGCGAGTCCCCAACATTCAAGGAGGATATTTTCAAGTACACACAAAGCCCGAGCAAAATGTCGGTCCATTTCACGACTTAAACATACGCTCCCGATGAATTTATTAGAAAATTTGTAGGTGGGATCCTATAGAGTTATCACTTGGTTTCTCCGGTATTAAAAAAAATATAGAATGTTAATTCCGAGGAACAAAAAATAGACAGGAAAATTTTCCCGAATTCCACAGCATGGAGAAAAATATTTTAAACTGAGCGATAAAAATTAAACTTACTCGCATTTGTTTAAATAGAGAAAAACTTTCAGGTGACAGGGAGAAAACTTTCAATTGAGAACTGCGAAATGAACAAAAGGATAGAGTGATTGTGAAAATATTTTAATTCAAAATTTAGAATTTATAAAGATTTTATTTTCCGAAAAGACGTGCCAGAAATCAGCATATCGAGACTGATTCCGTAACGAAACAAATGTTTAGTCTCATTGCGGTACTTCAACAATACAAAAAAAAAATGAAAAATGATTAAGTAATTTCTTGTACAATGATTGCATGAAAAACGATAAAAATCTATATAATTTGAGAAAAGTAATAAGATAAAGTATAGATAATATGGAGCCGGACAGAGAAGGCAGAGAATACGGCAACCGAGTAAGCCCACTTGAACTGGCAGCAGATAGCGCACCCTCAAGGTTACCTCTACTGACCTTCACCAACACGCATCGCGCTGCATGCCATCCAACTAATTTACTCAGTCAACCTTACACCAAGTCAATAGATCGTTTGTGCATTCACTACATGCAAGGGGCATTGCATTCACAAAAATTAATGGGTTATATTGTTCAGATAGTGACACTTTTTACACGAAGCACTGATACGTACTTGAGCTCGATCAAAGCGCGTTAGGCTGATCTATACAACGGCAAAATGTATATCAAAAATGTATATCGCTGTTTGTGCAACGTATCACTCATTTCTCAGTGTACAGTACAAACCCTTACAAATGGTTAGATATGCAAGAGTCACTCACGAGAATTAGAGAAATAGTCAATTAGGTAAAAATATGAATATACTATGATTTGAAGAGTCCGGTTTGGTATCCACAACGCAGCAAAGTGATAAGTTGGTTTGTATTAGTATAGTTCCGATATTTTGTTCTGTTACTCAAATAAATATCTCGATAATTGCCTTTATATTAGTGATTAATAAAAAATGGTGATTTTTCAACGTAGGGAAGAAATTTACTAACAGAGCACTCACGCCTGACAACAACAAACAACTGATGTACACTGCAGAACACGCGCCTGTGTGGTGAGGTCAAATAGAGACAAGGCATTTACATTATCTAAATATGATAACTAAATTGGGAATTCAACTCAATTGATTACTCAATTCCCGTAACATACGAGAAACTTATCAGTTAAGAAGCCAAATTACCAAACATTAAAGAATGACGTAGACAATATGGTCAACTGAACCTGGCAGATATTCTTTATAAGATTATCTTGATATGCCCAGATATGCATACATGTTCAAATAATTTATCGCATAACAGCTTAGCTACAAATAGATTTTTATCCAACTTTCATAGTTCGATCATAATATTTATTTTTACAAGTATTCATTGAAGCTTCAAGCAGTAAAATTTGACAATTTCAGGTCTACGCGTGCAACTATAGATATCAGGATAATCGTAGGTGCATAGCCATGAATATTGTATGATGTTTGTAGGCTCGTCACGAGGGCATCTTCGACCATCCAAGCCTGAAGGTCGCGAGCTTCGTTTCTATCGTTACGATGGACAGCGATTCTAACGCCTGGTCTGAATTAACGAGCGGCGACTCCTATCGATTTTTCAAGTAAGAACTGTAACTCTATAAGCTCTTTGTGGTATAATAAGAGCGGTTATAATACACTGATGCCTTCACTGCAACATCTTCGTCAGCCCGTAAACAAAAAAATATTGTAAACGTAACTTCACGAGTTTCAGTGAATCTTGCAGTACCTGGATTTCAAGTCCCATATTCAGCAGGGCCCGAAAATCAGAATTCTTTACTAAAATTTACACATAGGAATATATTCATGAGATAATTAGCCCCCCATCTATCATTTGGAACTTGGTTTCTTGTCCAGTACGGCACGAGCATTCTTGTTTACTTGCAAACATGCAATGATGCAAGAAACTATGCCAAGCATCGTTGTAAGCAAACCTCGCAGTTAAATTACAGCACATTATTTTAGCACTTGAAGCTCGGAAGACAGCAGCAAGGCAACTCAATACGCCAGTTATATGCTAGTAAACCTAACAAGCCTAACAAAGTTGATACAGCTTTTTTTACCTAAGCGCAAGAAACTTTCAGGACATCGCACAAGTTGTATACTTTGGTAAGGCAGGAGCACCAGTTGTACGCTATTGTACCTAAAAAGCCACATCAAGTTGATGAAGAAGAGCAAGCATGTGCAGCCACTGACCCTGAGAAGTGAGTGATTGATGCAGCGAAGGCAAGGTCCTCTGATGTTGTTGTTGTTGTCGTTGTGGGAGCAAAGACTGGGGAAGTGCTAGGGGATTAAGAGAGTGCGGCCGGACTCCCACAAATGCGGGTGCTGTGGAGCTGACTGGGGCACTGGAGGGGGAGGATGTGGAGGAAGGAGTGCGAGAATCCACTGCGCCGCTGGGACAAGTGGCTGGTGCAGAGCACGAGACCGGTGCACTGCAGCTCTGCCGAGAAAAATACCCTCGTTAAGAATTGCATCATATCAGTACAGTCTGTATCCTTTCATTTTACAATGCACATTTTTTTTAAATGCACATTAAAAATACACATTTTTTAAATGCACATTTAAACTGCTCATTTTTTTGCTATGTGATGTAGGAATGTTTGCTACAGAGTAACATTTTGATACCAAATGTAAAAATTTCGCTTAATAGATTCAGAGTGCAACAATTCTCGCATAAAACTGTGAGTGTTTTGGCATGCTATGTTACCAAATCAATGACCAAACAAAGAGCAACTCAACACCCAAGCTAGTGAAGGTCATCTTACTTATGATCGCTCTCAGTGGTTTTCTTCAGCCTCAGCATTCAATATAAATTGGACAATGATTATTTAATTAAAGCATTTGTGAACGCTATAAGAGCGGACTCTGGTAAAACACAATAATTGAAGTCGGGCGCTTGCTTTTCCTGACGCACATTGAGCCAATGAGGTCGAATAAAAGGCCATCCGTGGCACTGCGTAAATGTGACGTGGGGACGAAGCTAAATCAATGAGGTTGCTTTCACAGTGATGTGAAATGAAATGAATTGGAGAAGTAGGTTAGCTCGTAGATTGTGGTTGAGGTAGCCAACACAGTGGCAAGTTCATGAAATGAGCGTCAATATGAGGCGATGACCCAGAACTATGTAGGTAGGTCATACAGAGTTCAATGCAGGAGAATGGTGTGTGGCCTTTAGCTAGCATCATGCTGGACCACGAACCATGTACACATAACTACTGCAAATACAGTGAATGAGATGCAGCTTGAGGCAACATCATGTGTGCACACGTATCAACCAAGTCGAATACTTGTGAACAGTGAGTTTATTATTTGTTAGTGAAAAGAAGAAGTTACAGCAGCAAATAGAGTTTAGAATAATGTAAAATAAAGATATTATACAGAGGCATCATTGAGACACACCCGAAATAGATAATTGAACAGTCAAATAATTTCACGCACGTAAATACTTTTCCGACCTTAAGACATGTTGATGAATAACACTTATGAAAGTACAACATACTAAAGCCACCCAATCTCCTAGCAATTTACACGCTTATCTATCAATAATTTCACCAAACATGTCTTGTTTTCAGATAAACGCTTAATAACGATAAGGATTAATAACTCGTCGACAGAAACTAAGCGTCAACCTAACGCATTAATACTCAATTCGCACCCGCTGAATTAAAGAGACTTGAAACGTCAGAAACCGTAGCTAACTGGGAGTAGTCAATCAGTGGTCGGTAGGAATTGCTGCAACGACAGGCAGAAATTGTAGCTTTTCCGTAAAAATCGCAACAAAGACTGTTAGGAATTACAGTAGTTTGGTAGGAATTGTGGCAGTGACCGGTAGGAATTGCAGCAGTCGGTAGTAATAGCGGCAACGACCGATAGGAATTGTAGCAGCGATCGGCAAAAAAAGGTACAGGTGAAGGAGTGTGAAGCGATAGCACCCAGCCGGGCTCACGTTACCACGGCTCAGCACATCACAAGACAATCTAAGAGCTCACAGCAGTAGAAGATGTCCCCATCGTCGCGGAGAGTAGAGCAATCATCGATTACCGAGTGACCTATACAATAACTGTGATAAGCGCGTGGTTTACCGATGCGAAATGCCTCCAATATGACCTATATAAAACGAGGTTTGGCCATCGATTAGTAGTAGGTACCTTATTTGTAACGAATCGAACACAAATAAATCTAAAGCATCATGCAAAATGTAGTATGTCGGTCGCCCTTGCAGCAATAACGCCTTAGAAACGGAAGATTAATTCCTTTTTCATTAGCAAGTCTCTTCTGTTGTATTTGTACGTGCAGGTTATCACACCATATTTAATAACATTTTTAGTATTCAACGTCGCATCGAAGCAAAGCTAAAGAGAACATAAACTCCTAACTCAAATAATAAACTACCAACTAAAACGAACACGCAGGGCTCAACTTCAACAAGAATAACGAATAACAAACGCGTACTCAAAAACATTGCGCAACAAGGAAACTGACAGTGTGGTAAGATATGTGGAGATGTTGTTTCGTTACTAGGAAGAAACGCAACTAATTTGCACTTACATAATGTTAATTAATGAATGAAACATATCGTAGAAGTGAAATACATTGACCAATATTTAAAAGAAACAATGAAGCATTCATTAGTAGAATATAAAAACAATGGAGGCATGCAGATTACGTCACAACACAGCGAACCCATGTATTTCATTTTAATTATATAAGTGTTAGACGAACCTTTTGACAACACGTTATGCACGGTGATCTTCAATAATTTTATCGAAGGTTAAAATACATTGAACTATTCATTTTATCGAAGGTTAAAATACATTGAACTATTCATGCACTAAGAGAATTTAATAAGCCATATGGACATCAGACGCAAGGTCTACCGTAATGGCGTATGCAGCGTTACAGGTCACGCTTACACAGTCTACACAATGCAGGTCAACTCAAACTCATAACAAAGTTCCGGTGACCAAGGCGACCTATAAGCAGTGCGTCGGCCAGGCCTTCGATCCGAGATCTCAATAATCGCCAGACTTGCCACAACAAGTATCAGAACTTTGCGGTAACTGGCAAGAAAAGCGCAGCCAGTCTTTGGATGGGGGTTAAGTCAAGCGATTTGTTGTATGGATCGATCTGCGTGAGCGTTTCTGGGGTAAACATATAGACGGACCATGCGGTTAGTGTGATGCGCTGCACAACTCGCTATGAGGCGCTATGTCGTTATGTGAGGCGCTGCTCAACTCGCTATGAGGAGCTATGTCGTTATGCTCAACCAGCAGATGGAATAAAAATGTTCCATAAGGATCTTTCTACATGAGTAACCAAAAATTATTTAATCCACATACGAAAGCCTCATATTACATTCTTAGTACGAATGCATATTTCGAAATGCAAGTCAAGAGGCATGGAAAGCTAGTAAATGGTTTCAGAAGCAGCCAGGATGTTATGGGAGGTTATTTCAAGTTGTACTGTACTGTATTTTCGGGCAGCATAAGAACATATGCCACGTTATGTCAATCAAGTTCACTCTATTTTCGGGCCGCATAATATCATGCCACGTTATGTCAACAGAATTGTGCGCACACCACACGAGTCAGGTGAATGTGATGAAGATAATGGCAGCAGTGATAGTGATGATGACAGTAGTGATGTGATGATGACAGCAGTGAAGGTGATGATGACAGTAGTGATGTGATGATGACAGCAGTGATGGTGATGATGACAGCAGTGATGGTGATAATGACAGCAGTGATGGTGACGATGACAGCAGCGATGGTGACTGGATAGGAAGTTAAAGGATGGGTCAGCAGTTCATGAGGACGTGAGGGGAGGTGGTAACCCACTTCTGCATGGAGTGTTTCGACAGCGCCCGACCATCTCAAGCTTTCACCCCCTTCGCTGCGACCAAGACTCGACCCCAGCATTTCTTAAGACTCCGGCTCTTTTTATCAGTCCATAGTTTCTCTCAAACGATGCCATTGCTATTGTTAAAATAACACTGATTTTTTCCGCCGCCACAGCTTTCTACAAATCAAGTACCGTTTCTTTTGAATGAACAAGTCGTTAGTACAAAATAGGCGTCGAGGCACCGCACAGACGGCCGGTGTCGTTCAAAGCGCCCACTTATATCAAAACTGGATAATTCGCTCATGACATCATCATCTGAAGACTGTTTAAATTCCGTCTATGGTAGTTCTGAAGAATTTTACAGCAATGTTTCACTTCCTTGATTCTATTAACAACCTAAAACGCTGTTGGATAAATGCATAACCAGTAAATAAAAACCTACAGTGAACATCATTGGAGTTTAATTCCAAACTCCAAGTAACCAAATTATTTCAGAAAAAAATAGTACGGTCCAACCACCGATGAAGAAACTTTAAATAATCTAATTGTATGTCCTTTTTATAAGCCAGTCAATAAGACGTGAAAAAGTCCATTTATGCTGAAAAAATTCCACGCGGTTTTATTAAACCGAGTACCAAAATGAATGCCCGGCCCACCTTTGTTCCGTTGAATATGTGATTAGAAATTACCAATGAATAAATAAAGATTCCTATCAATATAAAAGATCAAAATAATCATTCTTCCAGATAATATAACAAAAATGACAACGTGCATTACCATAAATTAGAACGCAAATAATAGCATAAAACTTATTGGCATACGAGACCGATATGACGGTTGTTTTAACACTTGTCTATACAGCGATGAACCATTCAGGTTTAATGAAAGCAAGCAAGCAATGCAGGAGATGCTAATATGGTGTTTCAGCTTCGCCACGAGACGCGCCAAATAGAAGAATGCGAGCTTCACCCGACAACGTGAACTACACCCAGAGTGTCGGGGCTAAACATGATGTGCGTGTGTCTTGCACGGCGGTACCGCGCGGCCACACCCTTGGACATGCGCCAGGGTGCTGCGGTGCTCTGCGCTACGCGTTCTCCTTTACAAACTAAAAAGGGACAGTAGGCCCCCTAAAGCGATGCCATTTGTACCGATTGTCTTCTTCGTCCTTGGTAAGTATGGGGGCTTCGGCTCCTGCAAGATTAAGATTAGTAGAGCATGAATCATCTAATCCCTGATACTCTAAATATCCAAGAAATTCGCGAAACGATGATCAGAGTAATTCGATTATACAGCACTAGGCACATCAGCGCATCAGAAAAAATCTTATTAATCTGCAGAACTTTATTTGAGCGGAAAAAAAACTTGAAACCAGAAATTACATAATAGGAATTTTCCGAAGATGAAAATAGGAATAGTTTGACTTGCATTCTTAGATTAACTGAGAAATTAAAATAGACTCCTCGAGATTACGCATACGAAGATATCAGGTCATGTTTGAGATAACGATAATATGATAACAAGTTTGACGTAACGGTACGTTATCTCCATAAAAAGGACCATCCTCGGTGCAACGTACTATAGACAGTGGTTTACATG